GCATCATTGTGAACATTGAAGATTTTCTTTTTGATCTAAAATCAAATTGAATTGAAACAAAACAAAAAATTTCGTCATTTTTTTCGCCCACATTCGAATTTCAGGTTCAACAAAATCGGAAATCTTTCCAACATCAATAATCGAAATGGTCATAAAATTTTTCTGATAAAACGAAAAAAAAATTATTGGCAAAAAATCTTTTTGATAGAAAATTCATCAATGCAAATGGATAAAAATATCCATAGGCCAATGGTGTTCAAAGGATGTCACGATTTCTTTTCTTTTTTTCTTCATTATTTTGATTTCATCATTTTTGTTCACGGCTTTTAGTTTGTGGTTTATGGTGATGATGATGATGATGATTATTTATACAATAGACATGTTTTTCTATCGTGAATCTGATCAATGAAACTCGTGTCCAACTAATTATAACCAACTATAACATCAAAATCAACTAATATAAGCGTTACATAAACAACTAATTAATGGTTAGTTATGATGATGCTATCAAGTTATATGTGTATTTTCATCCTTGATTAGTTCAATAAGTTTTAAGAGTCGACGATAATGTTGAAAAGTGAATGAAATGAAAAAGCAAAACAAAAAAAAAACAATTTCAACCAAACGTTCCAGATGATAAGAACACCATGGCACATAGAAATAATCACCAAAAATAAAAGTTAATAGTTATATCACTTCCTTTTTCATTGACTAATTAATCTATTGGCCAAAATAAAAATAATCGAATGTTTGAAGAATGCAAATTTTCAAGTGTTTTTTTTCGCTGATCAGATTTATTATCATTATCTACACAGTGATTTTCATTAAATGAATTATTTTGGAAAATTATTAAAGCATCGATGAATGTCTGATATCGAATGGTGAATTTTGTTTTGTTTTTTTTTGTATCTGAACCTTATAAATTAGATTTTTGTTTATCGGCTTATGATTAAATAAAACAGACAACAACAAAAAAAAATCCGAATTAGAATTAAAGACAATGTTTATGAATGATATGGTAGACCGAAAATAAGCATAAATAAGATCAGAAAAAACTCAATTTGATTTGGATCTACCTATATCGGTTGATTTGATTCGGTGGTCGAAGAACTCAATGTTTTTTTTTATATTTTGATAATGATTGGCCGTCATTTTTATCAATAATGTTTGTCGGACAGATTTTTATTTCTCAGCAATACATGTTGGCATATAAATGGCAAAGACGTGATTCATACACAAGTGAAATTTATTATGATTTTTGAAGATTCAAAAGATTTTTTTTCTTCTTTTTTTTGTTACCAAATGATCAGCTATTCAAAACAGATTTAGTTGAATAATAAATTGGCTATCAAATTTGTTCGTTTTATTGAACATAACCTTAATTGATAGAAAATAGAAGAAATAAAGAATTTGTTAATGTATGTCAGTAATAAATCAACCAAATGATTGTTAATGTGAAAGTTTTTCAACATTAATTAATTAATAACGACAACATTTGAAGATGAAAAAAAAATTCGACACTTATTACACATTCATGACTATGAATATAAGAAACATCATCTTCAGATACTTCATCATTATCATCATCATGATGGAACAGCAAATCTAATCGAAATAATAAAATAATTTGAAGCGCAACAAATTTTTTATCTACCAATTATTTTCAATGATGTTCATTCATTGTAACAACATTCGTTGAATGTTTTGAAGACTGTCAAATTATCTCTAATTGCTTGTTTTTTTTGTTGTTGAATCCAATTGAAACAAAACAAAAACAATTTGATTGACTGAATTGAAAAAAAATCATGTCATAAATTTGAAAAAATGGTCAATCGAATCATATGAAAAAAACTGAAATTTTACATTTATAATAATGATTGAAGAATTGTCTTTGATCATCTTTTCATTAATAAAAAGACAAATAAGTAAAAATGCTTATGCTCGATCAAATCATCATCTATAAAGTTTGAGATCAACTTTTGTTGTTGTTTTAATCTTTTTTTTCTTGAGATTTCATTGTGTTTAGATTGTTAATATTAGCTAAATATTTGCATTGAATTTAATTTTTTGATGTTTTTCTATTGAAATAAATGAATCCATTAATGAATGTAAATATGAAACCACCACCACAACATACAAAAAACATGATGATTCGAATAAATTATTTTATTTACTTGATCGATGAAAGAAAAAAAAAGATGAGATATCTGAGAGATCGCTACACTTACAACATTGATGTCATGTCATTATTTGAAAATCCGATATACAACATACATGCCAATATATCAAATTGATGATTTGTTATAGAAAATTGCCTCATTCATTTCATTATTTTCTTCAAATAGATTGAATGCATCATCATAATTGATTTTGATTGATTCAAAGAAAAAACAAAATCTCAATTCCAATGTTAATGTGATGAGGCTTATTTCAAACAAACAAAACAAAAAATGAAGATAATTTTGTTGATTTCAAATTTGAAATTATTCTCATCCAAAAAAAAACATCATCTTTCGAAATGTTATCGTAGTCATCATCTTCATCATAATCATGTTTTATGCTAATCACCTAACGAAAATGAAAACTATTTGAAATGATGGAATTTTGTTTGTTTTTATTATTATCTGCTTAGAATTATGATAATGATAATATCGGTGAAGAAATGAAACGTATTTTTTCAACTGTTAATTTTAATTTTAGCATTTGACACTTGTTGTTGTTATTATTGTCAACAAACACACACAAAGACAAAACAAACCGAACATTAAAAAATTTATTTTTATATTTGAAAACAAACAATAATGACATCAAAGAAAAGAAAGTTGTAAACAAATTATTCCAGAAAAAAAATTAAATAATAGTGATGGCTATTACTATGAAAGATGGAAATTTTGAAACACCACTATAGTGAAGAAAGACCACACCATGATGGTAAACGTCTTTTTTTCTCTGAGTTTAGAATAAACATTACATAAAAAAACAAAAACATCAATCCTAATCTATGTATGCAAATTTATTTTTCCTGAAATTTTCCTTCATATTAAACAAAACAACAACAACAAAAACATCAGACAGACATTAGACAGGTAGTCAGGATTATGATGATTATGACATGAATATGAAAAAAAGAATTACAACTAATCCATGATGACATGTGCGACAATTAGTAAAATGTCAAACCGAAAAAAAACAACAACAAAAAATCTTTTATTGTTGCTTTTGTCAAATAAATACAAGTTTCATTTGGCCTGAAATCAGACAATTAGACAATCATCATAGATGAAGAGCCAAAAAATTGAATCAATTGAATTTTTCCGAAAATGGGAATACTTTGTGTTTTTTTTTTTTTAAATGAAATTCTCAACATTTTTTCATTCATTCAAAGAATAAAAGAAATAAAGTTTTTCGTTTGTAGTTCATTTTCTCTTATTTTTGGCTTTTAATTTAATTTTTTTTCTTTTGATCAATGATGAAAAATTTGTCGTTAATTGTAACGTTATATTATAATTAGATCATGATTGTTGAATGATGATTTTGAAAAAAAATCGATAAATTTAAAGAATTTTGTAAATATAAAAAACGCGAAAAAACATTTCAAAAATGATAATGAAAATGATTAATGACTTTTGCATTGAGAAACTAAATGGAATTTTTTTCATTAACTTTTTTCTATGAAAAAATATTTACTTTTAACATTTTTCAAAATGTCAAACCATTTGTGTTTATTTATCAAATTGTCAATGATGTACCGTTGGCATTTATTTGGTTGATTGCCCGATTATCAACTATTCTGTTTTGAAACTAAAACTTCACATATGAAAAGGTATCCACACAAAATTCTACAATTAATTAGAAATTAAAAAAATAACTTTTCTTATCAACATACTCATGAGATAATTTTTCCGAAGAATATTCTCGAATTTTATTCTCACAACACTTGATTGATTTTTTAAAAAAGTTTTTTGCCATCAAGACTATCATGTGTTTTTGTCGACCATTTACTGTGAATAAAAAGTTATTAAAACATAAGAATACCCGATAATAGATCGAAAATTTCACATTTTAATTAACAAGGTTAAATTTATTAAGCGTTTTTTCTAGTTCATATAAAAATAATTATTGTTCGGTTTGATCATTTTCAGTCAAGCATTACAACATGATAGTATCATAAAAATGTTTCTTCAGATAAAACGTTTTTATTATTGTCAATTGAAAGAAATTATGCAGCCAAAAAATCCAAAATTTAATCTTTGGAAACATCGTTATGAAACGGCTGTCATGATTTTCTTTGAATTGCGTATAATCATCTGTTTAATTATACATTTTAATGAAAATTCATTTAATTATTTATGTCTAGATCCAATATGTTATATTGTAAATAAATATAAACCAAATCTATACCAACAATATCTATTTCTAATGATGGGTCTACCTGGTTTAGGCCTCATTGGTAAATATGTTTTCCATTTCAATGAAACCGATTCTTGGACATTTCAACTGCCATACGATATTGTTGTACGTAATACGGATCATCTAAAAAAACAAAAATATTCACTAACAGAACAAAAAAATATTTTCAAACAAAAATATGATCGAAATATGGAAAAATATTCATCGAATAATCTTTTATCAAAAAATTTAGCAGCTTGGTTTTGTCGGAATTGGACACAGTTATCATATTGGTTTAATATGGAACAAATCAATAGACATTTAGCGCATGAAAATCGGATGAAGACATATTTATATTTCTCTGTCGAATGCCAATTATTCATCTGCAAAACATATCGAATCATCGATGTCATTATGTATCAAATTAATATATTTCTCGGTAAGAATTTGATGTCTGTTGAATTTTGAAAAAAAAAATTATGGAAAAAATTTAAATTTAGGAATATCGATTACATTGTTTGCCATATTATATTATAAGATAATCATGCAAGAATATAATATCGATAAAATATGGCAACATATGATTCTATTTGTTGAAGTAATAACGACGAGCAATATGATTATAACCGTATTACAGTTAGGATTCTTTTTCGGATTGTTTGCATCATCACCAACATTATTGAAAGCATTTCAACTTAGAGATTATGACCGTACATTATCAATGGCAAGAAAATATTGTATAAAATTAACACAAATGATGATCAATGAAGGAAAAATTGATCCGAACATGGCAAAAACATTTGTAATGGATCGAAAAATATACAATTTTCTCAAATGGTTTGTGTTGGAACATAGTCGTATCTGTGTGGTCACAATGAATGCTTGGCGCGGTCAAATTAACAGAAGTTTTCTTATTTATTTCATTATCGGTATTCCATGGAATGTTCTTTGTGTTTCAACATTGATCATGAATAATACGTTATCGGGATTTGATAGATTTTTTATATATACACTGACAATCATTCATAGTGGAATTACAATTTTATTAATGGAAGCATTGGCTCTTCAAAGTAATTCTTTACATCGTCCTGCAAAACATTTAGTACCGATTATACAGGGAATCCCGGGAAAAATTTCTATTTGCACAAAGGCAAAATATGAAGATCTTTATGCCCGTCTTATGCATGGTCCAAGATATGGACCAAGATTGGCTATGATTGGTGCCGTTACACATTTGATCATTTTTAATGTAGGTATTAATTGAACAGAATCAATTAATTTGTTTAAAATTTTCATTTTCATTTAACACAAATTAACCAAACATATAGATGATTGGAATGTATACTGGTTGTTTTATATTCGTATTAAGTCATATTCATTATGAATAACAAATCAACCCGAAATGATTGAATCAATAAAAATATCAATCAAGCATACTGATATCGATTATCTATATTTTTTTCTTCAAAAATTCTTCAAGAGTTTATGGATGAAAAATTAACGCAAACAAAACAGAAATTTCTTTCCTTTAAGAATAAATAATTGAATAACAAAAATTTCATCTAATAAATGAAATTGGATCGACAAAACAAAACAGAAAACAATTTTCTATCAATTATCAGAGAGAAAAAAAAATTCCATCATTCTATTGTTTAACGATATTATTACAAAATAATTATCATTTTTTTTTTCTTCGGGGAAAAAAATGAGATATAACATTCGTCATAAAAAAATTTAATATTTTTGTTGTTGTTTTGTCTGATCAAAACAACTGATTGTTTAGTTTAGTTTATATATGTGCTGCAAGCAAGCAGAAAATTTCATTTTTTTCTATTCATTCAATTCAAACACACAAACATACACAACTATTGACAATAAACAAACACATTTCATTCTGTTTTTTTTTTCTTTAATTTTTGTTCCAGAAACAATAACTTAAAACAAAAACATTAAACGAAACCAAAAAAAAACGAAAAATACACCACAAAGTACAAACGAGCATTTATTGTTTTTTTTAATATACATGTGTAGAAATAGTCTACAATGGTGTGTGTCAGGCGATTGATTAATTTGTTCAAAAAAACTTTTGGTTTTGTTTTGTTTTTTGTTTTCGTTTCCTTTTTTTTCCATTTAAAATCTACAAATTTAAAAATGTTTTTTTTAATCAATATCTATATAAAAGTTTAATGGCACCATCCTCTAATGGTGTTTTATTGATGTTGAAAATCAATTAAATTGATTAATCATCATCAGCAGCAGTAATATTATATAATCAACAGATATCCCTATTCCATCATTTTTGTTATTGTTCTATTTCCTTATTTTATCATTTGTTTTCTTTCGTTATAGAAAAAAAAGTTGTCATATCGATCTAATATACACAATAATAATGAATATTGATCCAAATTGAAAGAAAAAAAATGGAAAATGATGAATCCAGAAAACGAGAGAACATGTATGATATGTTTTATACATTCAAAAATGGTAGTCATCTGATTTATGATTGATATGAAAGATCATTTTTTTGCTCCATTATTTTATTTCATCTTTAAATAATGGCAATTTTGTTTATATACGGTATGTGATGTAAAGTTTTGATGGATGACAATAGCCGCAGGGTTTTCGCTGAAAAACTGAATAAGATTGTTGGAAGTGAAAATGAAGTTTTTTTTTGAGAAAAAACTGGTTACAACAAATGTAATTGATGATCACATTGAAAATTGTGTCATCAACATCGGCATCAATGTTGGTTATTGCAATTTCGATTTTTTTTTCTTCCATTTTCAACAAACATTTCCGTTATTTTTCATTCTTGTCATTCGTTTTCTGTATTTTTATGCGAAATGAAAAAAATATATTTTTTTCTTGGATTTGTTTTTTCATATTTGCTGTTTTTACTTTATCATTTATTTACAAACAACAACATTTATGAATGTTGGCTCTGTTAATGTTTTTTTTCTCGTTAATCCTGTCGAAATCTAAATCCAAATTTTGAAATGCTTGCTAGGACACCAGGAAGATCATACAAAACCCATACAAGATCATATCATATTTTTTTTGTTTATTGAAAAAAAATCATTTCCATATAATCCCTGCTGGTTTAACATACAATATGAATGTCAAACGCGTATTTAAGCATATGTGAGCTGATTACATAATTTTCTTCTTTTTTTTTGCATTGACATAACGTGTAATATGAATTTTGATTAAAATAAATTTTTTTATTTTTTGGAAACTATTGATACTGAACGGATGGCAGTAGCGATGCAAACAAAAAAAATTGATAAGATTCAAATTTCACGCCAATATCATCATAATAATGATGATCATTATTCAAATCATCTTTTATAAAAATTTCGGTAAAAAAAATTCAGTCGAATCGAACATCATCAATTTTGTCGTCGTCGTCGTTGTTATCATTTTTGTTGCTGATGTTATTATTATTATTATTATTATTATACACCTAAAATTACTATTCATTTTTGATTGATAAAAATCAACACCACACTGATAATAATAATAAAAAACTTGAATCATCATCATCATTGATTGACCATATGATTGATCAACAACAACAAGGGCCATTATCGTCATCATGATCATTATTAACATCATCACATCCTGGAATCAAATATTATCTGATCAAAACAAACGCAATACGAATTGAAAAAATGATTGATTCAAAATGATGCGATGGCAAACAAAAAAATATGAATTAAATAAATGAATGAATGTTAGGTCTTTTATTTACATCGATATCCGTTTGTAAATACAAATACACAAAAACGCCCAATCAACGTGCACGCAATTCAATTCAATTACGCCCATTTTTCATTCTAATATCGATTTCAAAAAAAGGAAATTGTTATAAGATATAATAATAGAATGAAGATTGATTGATTATTCAATCAATCAATCAATCAATTTGATTAACCAATCAACCAATAAGTTTTTTTCTTTATTTATTTTCAAGTTTTTTTCATCCAAATAACAATTGTTATTGATATTATTATTTTGCCTATTCTAATATCGTTTATCAATTGAGTTTGATTAATTTATTTACGTTTGAAATATAGTAATTAGTTATCAATACTTTTTATCTTTGTATCAAATCTTCTTCATCGATAATTGAAACGTACGTATCTTTCATTTTTGATATCAGTTGAAAACAATCAGGAAAAAAATCCCAAATTTGGTGAGAAAATTTTCGTTTTTTTTTTATTTCTGCAACCGTAAATCTTATTTGAAATCCCGATCAAAATCAAATAACCGTGTGATATTTGAATTTAATCTTGTGTATGTTTGTTTGTGTATGGTTTGGCTATTGTCCATCTGTGGATCAATGAAAAAAAAACAAGAAAAAAATGAAAAATCGATTTTACTTTCATTTTTTTTCATCCAACATCAAAAAAATCAAAAGTGAATCTTCCAATGATTAAAATGATGATGATGATAATTGGATTGAATCGAAGAGTATGTGAAAAGAATGGAAGAGCAATCATTGGGAAAAAAACGTATTTGAACCGAAAAAAAAGAAGAGAAAAAATGGCGAAAAACAAGAGAAAGTGAAAAAAAACATAAGAAAAAAAGCTTTTATTTCGACTTGTATGAAATGAGAGTCAAGATGATCATCTTGTATACACACACATAAGAAGAAGAAGAAAATCCAAAAGACGTGAAACCATTTTGTACGTTTGTTTCAATATGTGTGCGTGTGTGTGTATGGATGGATGTATTAAATTCATTGTTCAATTTGAATCATCTTTTGCCATCATCATATGGTGCAATATAAAGGATCACCAATTTCTCTTTATAAACAGCAAAAAATAATAAAGAAAGAAAGATAAAATTCTCTTTGGTCCACAAATATGTATGGAATAAAATGAAGAATGAATGAAATGAAATGTTCCAATCCAATGAAACTTTGCTTTGGAAAAAAATCAACTCTTTCTTTTTTATTGTTCATTCAATGATGATGATTAAAATTTCTTTGTTTTTTTCTAATTCATTCGGGAGTGATGTTTGAAATTCATCATCATCATCATCATCTTTGTTTTTAGTTCTCACTAAATTGGTGATGACCATCATCATCATCAACAACATTATCCACTGAAAAATCATCTTCACCAAATACTTTCATCAGTAACCGACATCAAACATTATTTGATCATTGCGTGCCATCATGTCATTCAGTTATTATTTTTATTATAATTTGTACAAATGAATGCGTCGGTGTACAAATGAAACAAAAAAAAACAAAAAAAATGGTGTGTTTCAACAAATTTCCAAGTTTGAAAATGAATGATCCACAAAACAATGATAATAATAATGATGAGCATGTTGTTCTTTCAATTCGAATAAGTTTATGATTCATTCATTTTTTTCCAGTTATTGTTATTGTTGATCATCGTCATTAGGAGAAAAAAATCTACTTATTTCTGTTGTTTTTGTTCACTATCCAATTGTCTTTGTGTTCCAACATGTTTTGTTATATGTAGCATCGATTGTTTAAACGCGTGTTTATGTGCGTGTGTGTTTATATGATGATGATGATGTGATTGTAATTTCTGTATCTTATTGTATTAATATGTCCTAAAACATTAAAAATACAACATCAATATGGATAATCTTGAATGAATTAAATCTGGATTATCTTTATGGTCAACATTGTAATTATTTTAACAATAATAATCACATCTAAAATTATCACAATCACATATAACACGTCAAAAAAAATACCGCAATTGTTATTGACCAATAAAATCCTATTATCAATCGTTTTTATATGCAGGATTTTTTTTTAAATCTCTTCTGTTTTGTTTCTAATTGTGTACATTATGACTAGTGTTTTTTTTAGTGCAAGTTTTTACTTTGTTTTCGTTTACATCAAAACATAAACCCACCTCTAAATGTAAAATGCAAACCGGAAAAATATTAACAACCAATTCATTAATATCATAACAACTATAATTTTATTCATTTTTAAAATTTTATAAAATTCACTTCATCACCGGAAAAAAACACTTTAATGTTTATCATCATCGAAATCAGTGTTATTTGTGGTCACCGGTTAAAAATAAGGAGAAAATCCCTTTGGAATTTATAAATCAAGTTGAAAAAATCTTTTGTTCAACCAAAATAAAAAATAAAAACTAATAACCACTATAAAAGTTGAAGATTTGAAAAAAAAATCAAATCCGTTTTTTCTGAAAAATTTATTCAACAAGAAAATTTAGTAATCTGTAAATGCATCATCATCTTTAATAATCGTAGCAATCATCTTATCATATCTTGTTAGCTACACACACACACACACACACATACATCAAATTATCTATGAATGAATTGATGTGGATCGAATTGAATCGGATCAACAACAACAACAACAACACCAACAAAAAACATTAGACGAAAGAAAAATTTTACATTGGTCATCACCGGTGAAAAATAAAATTACGGCCATAATATTATTATCTGTTTATAACAGAAAAAACAACACACATATACACACAGACAAATACCATGTATGACGCCCAAATTCGATCGATTTTTCGCCACCGCCATCATAATCATCATCATTATCATTATAATAGACACCATTTTAGAATGGCACCAATAAGCTCTTGGTTCATCGTACTACTTATATCGATCAGTAAGTGTTTTTTTTTCTATCGAATATTTTAAAAAACAAAATTCTTCATTACGATCTTTATGTTTTTTTTTCACATTGATAAGAAAAAATAAAAGATTAATTTATTTACTAAAATTAAAGACTTTATTGTCTAATTTAGAATCACACACACACACACACATTCGAATAATGAAATCAAATTTTTTTCCTCGTTTTATTATTTGATCTGAATTTTGGATTTTCTTTTGGAATCTATTTCTAAATCATCGATACTGCCTTGTGCGAAAGAAATACATCAACAGCAACTAGAAAAAAAAATGTTCTCAAAATCCATCATATACATTCCATTTGGTCATCATCTCATCATTGTGTCATCTAAATTTAAATATTCAAAATTGAAATTATTATGATGGATTAGTTTCACATGGCCGAAAAAAATGAAAAATAATAATAATTTATCAAAACGAATCGATGTTTGATGAACATGATTTCATTTCATTTTTTTTATCATCAAATATTTTCGAAATTTTCATAAGTCAGTAATAAAAAATTTTCAAACAAAAATATGCTAACATGAAATGAAACATTGAACATCTGAATCTTGATTAATTAAAATTGTATTAATTGAAATATTTATGTGAACGAAAAAAAATCTGCTTCCTTATTATGATGATATGCAAATGTGTTGAATGAAATTGATTGAATGAAAGGTCCATCATCATAAAAGTGCGTGAAAGATGAAAAAAAATTTCATTAAGCTTGAACAATATTCATTTGAAAATAAAAATGTGAGGAAATTTGTTTAAATTTAATTTCTTTTTCTCCCAAATTTTTTTCGCTTATCAAATATCTTCACTTAGATCATCACAAAAGATACGATAAGTTCAATTTACTCTGTTACAAACAACTCTTTTTTTTGTCGGATTGAAAGTTTTCACAATTTATTTAAAATGAATGTTCGATAATCACGTTTGGCAGTAAGAAAAAAAAGATGAATTAAAAAATTTAATTATAAAAAAATTTAAAATCTTTTTTTTGTACTCTTCAATGAATCATGTTGTTAATTTCAATTACAGTTATTGAATTTGCTTTCTAAATTCTTATTCGTACTTCAAAAAAAGATTAAAATAGGATTAATAATGCCATCATCAAGGTCATAAGTGGAGAAAAAATCAATTCAATTTTTTTTGAAGAATTAATTCGTTTACAAATAAAAATGTAAAATTTTTTCCAAATAAAAAATCCTAATCGGATCATATCATAATCAAGGATTCCATCATTAAAAATTTAAAAAAAAATCAGATCATTACGAATGGAATTTGTAAATTGTAAATAATGATTATCATCATCGATGATGAAATAATGATGATTTGGATCATTATTGGTCAAACAAACTAATATTTTTTTTTACTTTAAAAATAAGCTAAAATTTTTACTCAAATAAACAAATATCATAACCATATGGCTTTTATGGTAATAACAATTTATTAAAAATTGAATAAACAAATGAAAAAAAAATTCAATAAATTTTTGGAATAGAACAACAACATCAAAATGAATGATGAAAGTTCATTGTCACTGAAAAGTATCATTATTATTATTATTTTCGTCTACATCTAAAAATTGCCAGTCTTTTGGATATCGGTATTCGCCAATTTTGAATTCAAATACATTGCATTCATCAAACAAACAAACAGACATTATTATTATTTCGTTTGTCATTTGTTTTCTTTAAAAAATTTGTTTCATTGTCATCGTTTTATTTATGCATATGGAAATGGATGAATGAATGAATAGGATAGATTACAGATTGTAGTGATGTGTGGTGTCCATCACATTCCATCAAGGATCAGTTCCATTTTTCACTTAGTTTTGATGCTCACGAAATTTTTCGTTTTTTTTTGCTATTTAGTCATTTGTTGTATTCACCATTTCGGGCTAAACATTAAATATGGATCGAAAATTTTGTTGTTGTTATTCTTTTTCATTTTTCAATGCCAAGATCCAGAAAAAAAGGGATCATTTTTAAGCTTTGTTCAAATTTCAAAATCTTTGAAATAGATTTTATTATCCATATCAAAGTTTTCTTTTTAAATGCAAACATTGGAAATAAATAAAATCAAGAAACATTTAATCATTTTATTTAAATTGTATACATCTTGACAATCCGGATGAGCAGATGATTATAATCCATATGTCATTTATGTGTGCAATAGTATTTCATTGAATTTTTTTATTTATTTTAATCGTATTGTAATGAAACAATTAATTCATAGAAAAAATAAATAATCTCAATGATCATCTTGAATTTAATTTTTAATGGCCATTTATTTTGACATCAAGTTACATACTTAATCTTAAGACAATTAAATTGAAATTTTCCAATTTTGAGTTCAGAAAATGTGCAAATTTTCAGAGATTGATTTACAAATATTGATTGAAATATGATTCAATTCAATTCAATTCAATTCATTTTTCTATTCTTGTCCATTAAACTTTGAGCAATCAAATAAACAAACAAACAAATAACAGATAGAATAAAATGTTTCAAAATTCAAGTAATTATTGGCCATATGGCCAGACAATAATAAAAATAATTGAATGAGAAATTTCACTCTTTTTTTCATTTCAATTATTTTTCAACAACAACAAACGAATTCACTTACAATCGATTGTGTATATTAAATTTTATTCATAAAATATGACAAAGAATTGATAGAAATTTTCATTGTGATGCAATAAACTTGTTAGAAAATTTTCAATATTTACATTTATGTAATGTATTTGGCAATTGAATTTTACCTGTCATTTTTCTTGTAGTTTTTTTTTCGTATTCACAATCAAATGATAATAGTTTGATGATTTGCTTTGGGATCAATTAATTGTTTTATAATTTTTATTGATTCACATCATTGTTTTTTTTGAATGATGTTCCAATTATCATTATGTAATCAGTTTTTCATCAAACACAAACATACAACAACAACAACAAAAAACATAAGAACGTTAATATGACCCGATAATCAGCGAATGTTTTTTTTCAAATTTTATTTTTTTTGCAATAAAAAAACAATTTGTATCAGGCAATTCTTTGGAACAGATGTCATGCAATTTTTTTCTTGCTTCTCGCACAGGTCACACAAATTGAAATCATCAAAGTTTTTTTTCAAGAAAAAAAATCATTTCCATTGTTTATATTCAATTATAATCAATTTTTTCATTTGTTTTTATTTGTTGTTATTTAAAAATCACAGTTTCGCTTGGAGCAGTGATTGATTGTCGGCGACAACAGCAACAACAACAGCCATCGTCAACAACAATAACGAAGCGTTCATCATCATCAAAATTTGTCGATGAAAATGATTCGATTGATTATTTTAATATAAATAATAATAATAATAATGGTGATGAAATTGACGAAGAATTTGATGATTTTAATTGTCCGGAAAAATTTGGTTATTATCCGGATGAAAAAAATTGCTCAAGATATCATCTTTGTGATCATGGAAAATCTCGACTAAAATCATGCGATGATGGATTAGTATTTAGTACGATATTGAAAACATGTGATTGGCCTTACAATGTACATTGTAATCATGGCAATGGTGATAGAGGTTTGCCATTTATTATAATTTTGAAATGATTTTTCTCAAATCGGATTATTTTTTTCTTTTTAAAATCTCTTTTTTTTAATTTTTTTTATTTGAAATTTATCAAATAATTTATTAAAGGTGATTTTGTAGGAAAACATCTTCGTTTACGTAATAATGGTGATGCGGATGACAAAATTAATAATGATGATAATAATATTGATAAATCGTCGAAAAATCGTCGACAACCAGTATTGTCAAATGAAGCTGATGATAGCTATTGGCTTGGTCGTCCAAATAGTGATCTATTGGCTTATTTGGATGATAATGATAATAATTATCATGATATTCATCATGAAAATTTTCAGGATTTTGATATTCCACGACGAATTGTTACGAATACAAATCGTGTGCAGAATGGCGAAATAGAGAACAAACAAATCGATGATGGCGGACAACCATGGTTTCAGAATGTAAATTTTGAGCAACGTCGACCAATGACAACATCATCACAAACGACTACTTCGGCTAATCAACGCGGAAATCAAGGTTGGCGTAGCACTAAACCTGTTATTAACACCTCAACAACACGTACACCAACTTTATTGCCTCGAAAAGCAGTAAGTTCCAGGGATAATATCGAAAATGAAGAAGATTTTCTACTTACTGATAATGGTGCTCATCGTCGTATTCCGGAAAATGATCTTGGTGATTATCGACGAAAACCACCGAAAAATGATCGCGATAGTTATCGAATTGTTTCTTTTCAACAACCAAATCCAATAACAACAAATGATCCACAGACAACTACGACTACAACAAGATCACAACCGATTTGGTTTCAACAAACAACACCACCACCAACGACCACAAGGCAAACGGCAACACAAATTGGATCACGGCCTAGACATCTCGGAACTTCTGTACGACGCAAAGTTATTCGCAAAAAAATTATTCCACAAATTACGACAACAACTTCAACAACGTCAACATCGGCACCAACTTTTAAAAATGTAGCCGATTTTTGGAACAATAATGATCCTTGGAAATCCTCTCGTTATGAATCGAATCAACCAACTTTGAATCCAACAACCGTCAGTCCAAAACCTATCGGCTCAATTCGACGAACCATACCGAAATTCGAAAATCGACAACGTTTTGAACGAAAGCCTGTACTACGCGATGAAAGTGAAGATGCCAATGAACGAATAAACGATGATGATGAAGATGATGATGTTGTTGCTGGCAGAAATTTTGTTTACAATACTCCCGAGATAGTACGAAATAGAAATAATTCAAGTCACCGCCTTGATAATGATTTATTAATACCGAAAAATAAGGTTAAAGATGTTTCAAATAATATCAATAATAATGTAAGATTTCGACCGACCACTGCAAGGCCTTCGATAAATCAACCTGTAACACCATCAACTGTAACAACAACAACTAGTAATAGAAATAATAATCAAAATTTAAACAATGCATTCGATGCTGGTTTCCGTCATGCAATATTGCCAATAAATCGTCCAATTAGTTCATCATTACAACATCAACCACCACCGCCAAATATTGCTACCGATATTGAATATGAAGATTTAGAAAATGATGACGACGATGATGATGATGAAGATGTTGATGATATTAGTGCCAATGATGATGATAATAACAACAATAGTCGATCAAATAGTGAAAATAATAATAATCAATCATTGAATAATAACAAAGAAATTGTTGTTCGCTATGATGATGATGCTGACGATAATCATCATCAAAATCATCATTTGGATACAAGACGACCACAATTTTCTACAAATCAGCAACAGTTTTCAAACAATACGAACAACAATCGTTTTCAAACAACAACAAGAAATATTGCATTACAATCGCCAAAATTAACAAGATTATCTAATAATAATGAAAATATCAATACATTCAATCCTAATCGACGATCAATACTAAATGATTCAGGTAAGATTGATCATATTTTTGAATGATTTTTTTCTCAATAAGAAAAACTTACACGAACATATCTTAATAATGCAACCCGAATACTTTTATAAATACCACTTGATACAGTTTGCTAGATTAGCTTTCTGCTATTTTTCCTTATTTTCTGAATTTTTAAATTTTCTAATCTTATGATATGAATAAGAATAATTACTTGGTCGCATACACACAGAATATTTAAGAAAAAAAAACACATAAATATACCATCAAAAAGATGTGTCAATTTAGTGATATACAAATATTTCATTTCTATTCATGTGCCATTCATCATCTGAATTGATTCGATATATGTTTATTGTTTCGATATTATCCATTTTATATTGTCCAGTTGGTTATGGAAAGAAAATTTTAACAACAACATTACCAACAACAACAACAACTACAACTCCGACGACTCTTTTATCGATAAAATCTACAAAACCTACAATGAAACCACAATTAGAATTATCTACAATCAGCAATGAAACGAAGGATAAAAAATCTAAAGTTTCAATCACGATTGGAAAACCAAAAAAACTAAAGCAAAAATTACCGGCTGTCATAAATAATAGTACGAGACAAATTCGAAAAGTATTGGAAAAAGTTCCATTACAGAATCAGCCAAACAAATTAACAACCAACAAAATTAAACGACAAGAATCAAAGATTCGGAAACAAAATAACACTATCTTGATTGAAAATTCTAAACATGTTGTTACATCTTCATCGACATCATTAATAAATAATACTGATGTTGATCATTCAAATAAAAATGATAGTAATAATCATAGTAGTAGAAAAACTATCAAATTAATTGGCAATAGGCCATCAACGATACCACGAATAAATGAATCGAAAAACATAACGAAGGGAAATAATAATTCATCTTTGTTAGGCATCAATCATATAAGCGGAAATAATAAAACTTTGGAAATTAGTGCACGAAATCAAAATAAATTTGTTGATTCGAATAGATCGAATAAATCTAAATCAAAAGATAGAACAAAATTGATACAACCGAAAACGGATAATGATAATGATTCACGACCAGTTGCAAGATTTTTTTTCGGTTCGAATCAAGGCCGAAAACGATTTCAGATTAATGTACCAGATAAGGAATGGCGAACATTTGATGATTCATCACAATCCTCCAAATCATCAAAATCATTACCACCATCAACATCATCATCATCCTCATCAGTATCATTACGGGCGCCACCATCGCAACGAATTCTAACATTCATACCAAAATATGAAAATTAAAATTTAAAATTTATTAATCTAATCTGAGGGATAATTTATATTTTTGAGTCAAAATCAATTATTTTCAATTAGTCTTGAATTAGATTTTCCAATAATTGGAATTCCATCATTGGAAATGAGCTTAAGTATTTAAAATAAATTTGGGATTATATATATCACCTTTATCATCATCGATATATGTTCGGATACACAATTTGTTTAATCAACAAACAATGGTTATAATAGCAAAAAAAACTAATGAAAAATAATAATAATAAAAATTAGTTTAAAATGTAAAATGACAATTTCCCTATCACTCTTGTCTTTCGTCTTTTTTTTTGTTGTTTCAATTTTTTTTCTAAATCTTAATTTAGATTTTAATGAGGATAAATGAGAATTACATCTTTCATCCTTGTTTTTTCATTCATATTTTCGACTTTCTTCCCTATTCCCGGCATCAAATCGGATATGGCGAAAACACTCCCCCTACACGCACATAAATACACAATAAACATTCATATACTTTCTTTACTTAATAAAATTAATTTTTCTCAAACTAATTTCAGTAATTTAAAAATAAGGAATATAAAATATTTGCTTTCGTCATATATCAATTCAATTGATTTCTACTTATGTTATATATTAATTACTAAAAATCATACTAACGAAAATCTTTCTTTATATTTCTATTTCTTTATCCATCACCAATTTTTTTCACATTAATTCTTCATTTTATTTGAATGCAAAATAAATTTGAAAACAAAACAAAAATAAAAAAATAAAAAACATTTTGTGTAGCAAAACGTATCGTGGATCTGACATTGAATAATCGACAAATAACTCCCTTGCATCTATCAAATCAATTTTTATCATTACCACCAACAATAAGACAACAACAACAACAACAACAACAGCCATTTATACCTAATCCAATTCCATTTGTAACCATAGTAGGTCCATTGCAGAGTAATCCAAAAAATAAGGTCAGCAACAACAATAGATCAACAGCAATTCATAATGCATTCACAGCAACAAATCCTGAATCACCATTATATCGTTCACAACAATTTTTATCAGATCCAAATCAATTATCAAATAACTGGCAATTATTTGATAATACAAATCCTATTAATAAATTTATAACAAATAAAAAACATCCAAAACAACCAATTATTATTTATCCTAATAATAATAATAATAATAATAATAAACAACAAACAAACAACAATCATAAAGTATTAAAAAATGAAAAACGTAAAAATCCTTCATCATCATCATTAATTAGTAATAAGAAATTACTCAATGGCAACTATACTCGTGCTAAACGTTGTATACCGGAAAGATGTCAGCCACCAGATTGTCGTTGTGGTGGCCTCGATATTCCAGGTTTGATTTTTTTCTTCATACTTTTAATGTTCTAAAATTTGAAATATTTTTTATTTCCAGGTGGTTTTAAACCTAGAGAAATTCCACAACTAGTTGTGCTAACGTTTGATGATTCGGTGAATGATTTAAATCTACATATTTATCGTCGTCTTTTTGAACAAGGACGAACAAATCCAAACGGATGCCCAATTTCAGCAACATTTTATGTTTCACATGAATGGACCGATTATTCACAAGTACAGAATCTATATGCTAAAGGCCATGAAATTGCATCACATTCAGTTAGGTATGTTTTTTCAGGATTCATCCAATTGTACACATGAATGAATCAATTTTTTTAAACCTAAATTTCCAATTTTAGCCATAGTTTTGGCGAAAAATTTTCCAAAGAGCGTTGGCTTGATGAAATTTTAGGACAAAAAGAAATTCTTCATCTTTACGGTGGTGTTGATCCGAATGAAATTCGTGGAATGAGAGCACCATTTTTACAGACTGGTGGTGATACAATGTTTGAAATGTTACATCAGGCAAATTTTTCCTATGATTCATCATTACCCGTTTATGATATTGATCCACCATATTGGCCATATACCTTAGATTATTCTATTAATCATGACTGTATGATTGAACCATGTCCAAGTAATTCCTATCCAGGTAAAAAAAATCAATTTTTTAAAATAATCTTTTGTCAACAAAATTCATTCAATCATATTAATAATATTCGAATACAAAAAAAATATATTCTATTATTAGGATTCTGGGAAGTTGGTATGGTCATGTGGGAAGATTTACGCGGTGGCCGTTGTTCAATGGCTGATGGCTGTTTTAATCCATCAGATGAAGATGGTGTTTATGAAATGGTTAAACGAAATTTTCTTCGCCATTATACATCAAATCGTGCACCATTTGGAATGTATTTCCATTCAAGATGGTTTCTAACTGAACATAATATGAATGGTTTCATTAGATTTTTAGATGAAATGTTACAATTAGATGATATTTATTTGGTTACAAATTGGCAAATGATACAATGGATGCGTAATCCAACACCATTAACACATATGAAAAAATTCAAACCATTCGGCTGTGATCATATAAGAAATCGGCCACCATTATGTAAAGCACCACATACATGTAAAGCACGTTTCCGCAGCGAGATACGTACATTGAAAACATGTCAAAAATGCCCACAATCATATCCATGGACAGGTAATAATGGCAGCGGATAGATTGAATATTTTTTTTCAAAAAAATAGGTCAATAGGTTTTTCCATTCTTAATATATCGATATTGAATGGAAATTTTTTTTCAATAAAAAATTCCAAATAACCAATCAATAAATGAAAACGAGTCTCATTAAAAAAAGTGTGATTTTCAAAGTCAATTTGTTCGCGCGTGCTTAAACACATAAAACATATAACACGAACAACATATAACTGTAACACATATACAAACGTATACACACGAACGCACACACGTTACTCTCATCAATCATTTTTTTTTCAACATGTTTTCCATGATTCTGGAAGATTTATTCATTTAGCATATCGAATATTTCATATTTTTTTTGCATATTCGGAGATTTTTTCTCTAGTTGTTATAATCAATTATGACAGCTTCTTATAATATATCATCATTCGATAGTATCGTTTTCTGAAACGAAACCAAATTTTTTTATACTTTTATTTTAAAAAAATCATAAATAAAAATAAAAATCCATCAATAATGAAACAAACAAAAAAACGATCGGAACCGGTAGTAAGCAATACACAAAACCAAATACGCACATACACACACACAATTTTTTACCGTCTGTGATTTGCATCACCAAAAAAAACAAGAAAGAAACAATGAAAATTCAATATTTACATAAGCTTACAACATTTTTTTTTGGTTGCTTCCGATTCATAAACAAAATACATTTATTGAATCTATTTTTTGTATGCCATTTTTAAATAATTTTCTTTTACAATGAAAAAAATCATGATTGTCAATTCTTTTGAATTTTGTATTTGATTTTTTCGTTGTTGTTGTTGTTGTTTTGTTTTATTTTGTTTTGAAACCGATTAACTCGGTCAATCGGTACCATTTTTTTCAATTTTTTTTCTTCTTTCCTTATCCATTCATTCAATTTATTCGTTTTAATAAAAGTTAATTGAAAAAAATTAACAACAAATTGATTGAAAATAGAAATTGAATTCAATAAAGTATTGGAAATTGAAAGAAAATGAAAAAAAGAAAAGAAAAATTAAATAAAATTCGATACTTGTCCATTGTTTTGCTTCGATATTGATTGTTTAAATTCATTTGTTCGAGGAGAAAAATAACTGAATGAAGAATCAAATTTGGTAGCGAAAAAAAAGTTTAAAACCTATTTCGGTTCAGCTGGCAAGTATCGAATTGACGGCAAGAGGAAAAAGAAAGAGAAACGTTTTTCTTTTTTGTTTTTGATCAACAATTCGAAAAATAACGTCACGTCTCATTGATTATGAAGAGAGCACCGCCTCATCAAACCTATGGAATGAATAAGGCAAATGAAAAATTTTTAATATTAATGGCTGCCCAACGATTGATTCGTACCGATAATGGTGAAGAAATTAATAAATCACAAGCACGATTGATGGACAATAAAGGTTTAGAACGAATGAAAAATGATAAAAATTTATCGATTGAACGTAGATTGGTATTAATGTTACCATTTTCGAATGTCAGTAAAGTTGTTGATCGCGTATATCTGGGAGGCCTAGCAGCCTTGACAGTCGAGATTTTTCTTCTCCATTCTATAAAATTAGTCATAAATGCTACACATGATTTACCATTATTGAAAGAAAGTGATGTTGAATCATATCGTGTACCCGTGAATGATGAAATTACCGGTGATCTATTGATGTATTTTGATGATGTTTCCGATATGATTCATGAATTTTTACAAAAAAATCCTACTGATAGTGCCATTGTACATTGTATGGCTGGCGTTTGTCGATCAGCAACATTAATTATGGGTAGACAAAAACCTTAGCTAAAAATAAACATCAAAATTAATCGATTCTTATTTTCTTTTATAGCTTATCTAATAAAATATCATAAAATGACGACTAGAGATTCATTTAAATTAATTAAAACAATACGACCATTCGTACGACCTAATATTGCATTCGTTGGACAATTAATGGCATTTGAGGAAAAATTAAATGATTATTGTACAACTAAAATAACAAAAATTTATTTTGACAATAGCCTAGTACGTATGCCAAATTTTTATGAAACTGATCATCCAGATTTATATAAGCTTGAAATACGTAAACAAACTGGTTCATAGATTTTTTTTTCTTTTGAAAATAATTCTTGAAAATATTTTATTCAAATAATAAAAAATAACAATTTATCATACCAAAAGATGGCGATAAAGTTAATGACTATAATTTAAATTTAGTAGCTACATCGATATTTGACATAATCAATGAAACAAATTTCCATCGTCGTCGTAATGTTTGTTGATCTAATGCATAGATTGGTTCATCAAGAAATTTGTCCCAAATATCTTTTGGGAAATTTTTCATACAATTCTCTTTTGTTTCAAAACTATAGCAAAAAAGGCTAACATCACCAGACATTTCATCAAATGTTTTTGACCAAAATTTGCCATCATTTTCATGATCATTACATAGTTGACGATTATTTTCATCTATACAGGAATGAAAATAAGCCATTGAACAACAAGCAGCAGATATATGATAATCACGTTCGGGAATGTTTTGTATTTGATGTATTCGTTGAAAATAATAATCACCACATTGATGAAATTTTTCCATTTTACTACGATCGCGCAAACATTGTGAATGTTCAATAAATTTTTTTCGAATTGTTTCATTCGAACATCTTCTATTGAATTGTTTTGTAACTGTACCATATAATGCATCCGCGGCCATTCTTGCTGTATCATGTAGGCAATTATCAATAAAATCATTCAAACAAATCATTCCATCTTCATAGGCACTGCGTTTTTATGAATCATATAATCAAAAGAAGAAAAAAACAAAATTTGTAATAAATACTTACTCACAATTTTGAGCATATAATTCTTCATCAAATGCCAATATTGCATCTCGTTTGCCGAAATAAAGAAAATTTGAAGCACATTCTCGATCTATTTTTAACGGTGATGGACAATTATCACTTGCTGAAACATTGTTCAAAATATTGAACAATAATATTAAAGTCAAAATCCACCCTAAACCAAAGTTTTAGTCAATTTTATTTATAATAAAAATAAATGAAAAGCTTACTTTTAAATTGTTCCATCTTTGTTTTTTTTTGTTAAATTCAAGAAATTCGTGATTCCAATCTACGTCGACGAAGACAATAATGTCAAATATGCAAAATATTTTTTGAAAAACATTCTTTGCTTTCACTATTTTCCTGTTTTCATTTCAATCATTTTTTTTGAGTTGCAATCAATTAAATGACAATTATTGAATTCTCTAAGCATTTAATGTGCTTCGTAATTAAGAGAATTAATTATCCGGCTGACATTTATTATATATTTTTTTTATAATTTGGGTAACATCATTAAATCTACCCTTTCTATATTGATTTTTTTCACCATTCATTAAGCATTCATAGTTCGATGATTATTTAATTTTTTTATACATAAAAATTCATATTGGCCATGGTTCAATGATTGTAATTGAATGTCAAGAAAATGAATTGAAAAAAAAATTTGTCATTGATTAATACTTATGAATCAATCATTATATCATACGATGATCAAAAAAAAGAAGAAAAAAAATTGATTTCATTCTTCCATAATGATTATAATCTTTTAGATTTTTTTAAAAAAATAATCTTGTTTGTCATTATTATCATCACTTTATGATTATGATCAATCAATGTCCTGATGATCATCAAATGTATTTGATCATCATCATCACACATTATGATGTGTTTGCTTGCTGGATTATTTCTTATACAAACAAAATTTCACTTCATCCAAATCTTATATTCAAGATAATAGAACAAGAGTGAAATTTTGTTCGAAAATATCATTCACTCACTCCTTTCAATTATCCGCTTTAATAGTTCAACGTTTTTTTCCGGGTTTATTCTATATTTCAAAATGTACATGTCATTTTATGATTAAAGTACGACGACTTCAGTCTTTCTTCTGGAATCATATTCGACATCAATGTTGTAAAAAACCGGTTACACACTATCTTGCTGAACAAGGCTATGATCATGCAGACATGGATACACATACCGACAGATACACGAACAAACATGCCACATAAGCTCGGCATATTTTTTCACAAGACAATATTGCATGTAAGTGAGCTGAAATTGTTTATTTATTTTTTCTATTACACTGTGTTTATTTATCAACATTTGATGACGATTTTCTGCCTAAAAAGATAAGACCAGTAACTAATCAAATAACGGTTTTAATTGTGATAAATAAGAAAATCAAATCTTGTTTAATATAAAATATAAATATTCAAAAAGAAAATCGTATTGAAACTTTTCTTTTCATCATTTTCATTATATTTATTTCATTTTATATTACGAATTCTTGTCAATCGAACCAATCGCATTAATAGAAAATCAAATTAATTTGGTTGAAAGTGAAATTCGATAAATAACCAAAAATTCTTAGCGTGAAAAAAAGTCGAAAAAATATGGCTGAACAAATGAAAAAAATTCCCGATCATCTAATCAATTGTAATCCAGGACCGGCTCGTATTCCATATGAAATTTTACGTCGTGCCCAAGATGAATTAATCTATTATCAAGATACCGGAATCAGTGTTATGGGTATGTATGAAAATTTTTTTAATTTTAATTTTTAATTTTGGAAATTTTGCTCATTTCCTTTTTGATCATATTACTACACATCCATACATGGTATTAATTTTTTATAAATATTTTTTTTTCTCAAATCACCTTTCAATCAATCATCCGAATCGATAATTGAATTGAATTATGACAAAAATTAATTTAATGATTCACAACAGAAATGAGCCATCGTTCACCGGAATTTGAAAACATTATACGTACGGCGGAGAATTTATTTCGTGAAATAATGTAATTTTTTCTGTTCTAAATATTCATGATTGATAAATTTGTGATTATATTAACCGAATTTTTTTTCCATTTTCATGCATTTCAACCATGGTCTTTTTTTCACTACATAATTTATTTTAAAGGAACATTCCCGATAACTATCGAGTATTATTTCTACATGGTGGCGGTACAGCACAGTTTGCATCAATACCATTAAATCTTTGTCCAGAATTAAAAAGTTGCAAAGTTAATTATGCTGTTACGGGAACATGGTCAGAAAAGGCGGCTAAAGAAGCAGAAAAATATTGTCATGTTAATCGTGTCACGCCAAAACTTGATAAATTCACCACCATACCTGATGTTTCTACTTGGAAGGTATTTTTCTTTTTTTTTTTGCTTTTTGTTCATGAATTTTTCATTTGAAAATTTTTGTATATTTTTCTTTTATTCCATTCATGTTTTTCTGTGTACTATTTCTTGACATTTGGACTATTTTTTGCTTTTCACTTTCTCTAATAAATATGGAAACAATGATACCTTGCTGTTTGTTTTGCCATGGAATATATAATATATCAACATATAGATAGATCCTGATGGTAAATATTTATTCTATACCGATAATGAAACGATAGCTGGTGTTGAATATCAATTCAAAGTTCAACCATTCTCTGATACAATGCCGGTTGCTATTGATATGACATCAAATTTTCTTTCACGACCAGTCGATGTTTCCAACTATGGTGTTATTATTGCTGGTACACAGAAAAATGTTGGTATTGCTGGTCTAGCTATTGTTATTGTTCGTGATGATTTAATTGGTAAACCTATGTCGATATGTCCAACAGTACTGGATTATACAATATTGAACAAAATGAAATCTCTTTATAATACACCACCATGTTATCCAATCTATATGACAATGTTATATCTACAGTGGATTAAAGATCAAGGTGGTCTTGATGTAATGGGTGATCGTTCCGATCAACGAGCAAAATTAATCTATGATGTTATTGATCAATCCAATGGTTTCTATTTTAATGGTGTTGATCCGAATTGTCGTAGCCGTATGAATGCAGTATTTCGTATCGGTGGTAACAATGGTGATGAACAGTTGGAAAAACAATTTATACAGGAATGTAAAGAACGTAAAATAATTGGCATCAAAGGACATCGTTTAGCTGGTGGTATACGTATTTCGATGTTCAATGGAATGCCTGTTGAAGATGCAAAATTTATTTCCGAATTGATGATTGAATTTATGGAACGCAATCGAAAATAGTTTTTTATTTGTTGATCTTTTTTTTGTTGCTGTTTCTTTTCAGTGCAAATATTATGCTGTTAACCATCAAAACCAATAAAGAGCTTATTAATGAAATAAAGGAAAAAATATTCAATTTTCTTTTCAATTTTCATTTGAATGATAAAAGAAATGTTTAAAATAGAATAAACCATTACCAATACATCACATCATTTATCATCCACGCAAAATGAATGACAAAAATTTATTGGAAATCATAACAAAAATAATGAATAAATTTATTTTCAGCATTCATTTGAAATATTTTCATATACTTTTTTTTGTTAGTTTTGTTATCGTTAAATTGAAAATGAAAACAAAAAATTATCGTCAATTAAAGTGAATCTTATATGTATGCGTCGAATGTTTTTATTCCTATATTTTGGTAATTGATTTAATGAAATGTATGAACGATAAGACCTAATGGAATTAAAAATTTTCTTCTATTTCACAACCAACAACCATCGTTAAAAATAAAAATCTGAATTCATTGGATTTGCTATCAATTATGCATTGCTGAATACAATTCCCATTCGATATTCAAGGAAATAATTCTTGAGCAATTTCATTGTCACCAAACAAGAAAAAAAAATCTAGTTCATTTGGGAGTAAGGATCTTTCAAAATAGATTATTTTTCGTTTCAACACCATGAGAAATATAAATCATTTCTTATCTAAATGTTATTTTTCAGAAAAAAACAGATCCAACATAATTCATGAAATATAATAATTTTATAAGAATATTCCATCAAAATATAAATGTCTTGTGATGAATAATAGAGAAATTTGTTATGTAATGAAATTGCTGTTATTGATGATGATGTTTATTTATTTATTTTCTGCTAACATTTTGGTTGGCCAATGAATTGGTCTTTGACTAACCATCATTTTTATCCATTGATTTGTGTTTATTCTTTTTTTTTTTTTTTTGGTAAAATGAACTAAATTTCATCATGTGGATCTTCCTCATAAAAAAACCGCCCCAACATCAAATGAAANTTTATTTATTTTCTGCTAACATTTTGGTTGGCCAATGAATTGGTCTTTGACTAACCATCATTTTTATCCATTGATTTGTGTTTTTTTTTTTTTTTTTTTTTTTGGTAAAATGAACTAAATTTCATCATGTGGATCTTCATCATCAAACAACAGCCACAACATCAAATGACAAGAAGAATATCATTGTCATCATTTTCATCATCATCAGCTTGGGTTGACATATGAAAGTTTTTTTTATCAAATGGAATTTGTTTCTGTGTTTTTTCTCTTCTCAAAGGTCTATTATTCATATTTTTTTCGCAAACATAATGCTATCTATATGAATAATGGGTTAACTGTTCCATATATTTTTCTCCATTTATTTCTGGCTTTTTATGTCTGTGTTTTTTTCTTTGCTTTTCATCATAACATAAATGCCATTTAGCGATTATATTGTTGTTTTTAATATTTCATTGTCAATTCAAGGATCCTAAAAAATTCTTTTTTTTCCGGTTAATCTAAATGATGTGTTGAGTGGATAATAATTTTTACCCTTTGTATCATGGATTGTTTAACACATGTTTCACACAATCTCAATTTCTGTCATTTTATTAATGACTTTTCAATGTTTGTCTTTTTTTTGATGGAATGATGTTTTTTGAAAAAAATTTTAATTATAATTTTAAACAAATCGAATACGATTAAGTGGAAAAAAGAATGATGATGATGTTAAAAAAATGGAATTGAACTGGAAATTGAATTTCAATTTCATGTTTTTCGTGTGTTGAATCGAATGTATGCTACAGCAAATTTGAATTGATTTTCTTTTTACATTCATCGATTGTAAGATGTCTGTTTTTACAACAGCACTTAAATGTTGAAACCTTATATTATTATTTGTTATCATGAGCATCACGAATATTCTTTTTTTTCATTCAATCTCGTTACATTTTGCATGATTATTCTTCATTTCAAAAACTAGAAAAATTTACTTGTCAGTGGTGAAAAAAAAAGATTTCAATGTCATTTCATTGAATGTACGAATAATGTAAACTTTTTTCCCTAGTTTTTTTTCGTCTTTTTTTTCTCCTCCGACTATCACGCCATTCAAAAAGCATAAATATTTTAAATAATAACAGTGATGGCTGTTCTAAAAAAAAGATCCATTTTATGCAACAAAAAATTCATTTTTTAGCATATATACCGACACATTGATAATAGGATGTATAAATTTTTTTTCCCATTATAAGCTAACAATTACTGATGCTTCATGACGATCATCATTATTATCAACTAAAAGTTATTATTTTCATCGAACAATTTTCGCTGCCTTTTTTTCAATCTAATCTATTGAAAATCAATTTTTACAGTCAAAAATTTTCCATACTCTAATTACAGCACGCACCCGCACGCACATGCACAGGTAAAACATTTCAATTATTAAAAAAATCCTATTTGATCAGATTTGATCATAGTGAATAAGAAAAAAAAAACAGAATCTTATGTTTATTTATATGAATTATGCAATTCCTCGTCAAATATAATAACGTATATACCATTAGTAGTAATCAGTGATAGTAGTGAGAGTATTCAAATGATAATATCCAATTGATGGATGAATAATGCCCATTAGACAACATCTTTTTTATATTCTTTTTGATTTAATTCATTCAATTCTAATCAATATTATTCATTTTGATTTATCTATAAATTATATATCATCTATTGATATATAGAAAATAGTTATTGAATATCGGATTTCAATGTCGATTGAAAAAAATAAACAAAAATATTTCTGCATTCTTTAGTTTTTTCCGACTTTATCCTATTATTTTTTTGGGATTTTATCATTTCAATCAAAAGCATTGAAATTTTCCAGATAATATTGATGAAAGAATCAAATGTACACATTTGTGTCGTAATCTTATGTTTGTAATGTTTTTTTTGGAATTTTTTTTTTACAAACAAATTCTATTGATCTTAAAATCAATGATAATCTGGTTGTTATTCGAAATCAGTGCTTTTTTCTCTATCAATTAATTTGTTCTCATAATATCACAAGAAAAATGATTTAATTTTTGTATAAAGAATAAAGTTGGAACTTGAAATTAAATAATTGAAATTTTTGTAATTATTTTGAACTCAAGTAGCAATTTTTTCATTATTCGAAATTATGTGGAAAAAACGAATAAGAATTGAAATTGAATTATCATCATTGTTGCTGCCATAAGTATCAATTACAATTGCTAAGTAAAAAAAAATGTTATTCAATTCAAACATTAATAAGAATTTCTTTGTTATTTGTGTTTGTACATTCTATTCAAAAATATTATGAATCAATTTGATTTGATTTTCGAAAAGAAAATTCCTGTAAGGATGTATGATTTAATTTTTATTTGTGCAACATTTTGATTTCAAATTAACTATGATTATCAGAAGAAGGCCAAAAACAAACAGGTATTATTAGGTGTATCAAGAAAAAAAATAATGTGTATTCACTTTCTTCTCATCAATTTCCATCAAAGTAACTGAATAATGGAATATAACGAACAAATGAAAAAGTTTTTCTTGAATCACAATTATTTCTTTCATTTTTGATATATAATCGATCAAACGCATATACATTGGTGGTCGATAATGATAAAAAAATACTCTGCTCCTGTTTTTTTCTTTCTTTCATTATTTCACTATAATACAGAATTCCAGGAATCGTTACTATATATTGCCAGATAGACCTTTAGATTGAAAAAACAAGACTAAAAACAAACATTCATAAAACTAAATTGATAGTGTAGAGATGATGAAAACTTAATCACAAATAAAATGAATCCAATTTACATGAATATGATTTAGCAACAAATAACACATATAATTACCGAAAATCTTTTTTCTTTTGCTTCATTTTTATTCATCAATTCTGATGGGAAATGGTGAAAAAAAACTTTCTGAGTGTCCAGTTTTTGGCGGAAATATTTTGTTCTCAATTTATTCTTGTTTTTTTTCAAAGAAAATAAGCGATGAAAACCTTTCATAATAAATAAGATCGTGTATTTCTATTTTTATTCTGTTTTCGACATTAACATCATCGAAGACATCATCCATATCCTTTCCATGCACAAAAAAAGATATCTATCATTTCCCGCTTTTTTCATCACACAAATATATAAATGTGCAATTTAAACATCATATGGTCTTAGGCTATCATTTTTTTGTCAGTTTTTTCTATTATGTTTTGTGTTTTGTTTTCTTAGACTGTTGAGTCAGCGGACCATACCGAGAGTGTTCGAAAATTCATTATCAATTTTCAACATGGAATGAAATGGAAAAAATATGTAATGACTTTTCAATCATCTTGTTTATATAAGCAAAAGTGAAAAAGAGAAAAAAATTCGGAAAATAACCGTACAATCCAATTGTGCAAGCAAAATGAACAAAATAGAATAAAGGCAAAGAAGCCAGCATTTCAGGCTCGCGAATGCGCGCCTTTTTCAATATTTTTTGGTGTAACAATCCATGATGCCAAAAAAAGTAGAGGCTATAGATGTTGTTTGAATATTGTTTTTGCCCATGGAGAAAGGTAATATAGTTGCAGAACAAAGTGTGGAAAAATTTTATTTCTTTCATTCACTATTCCATTCTGAATGATGTTCAGAACAACATTCAAATATATATTGAAAAAATGATACGAATATAGGAATTTAAAGCGAAAAAAAGAAGAGAAATTCTTTTTATAATTATTTTGTGTTTTCCAGTTGTTGATGAATGAATTATCTATTTATTCATCAAAAAATTATCAAGATGTGCTTGTGTACGCGAATTGTAAATTGGTTTTTGGTTTTTTATTATTCAAATGTTCATCAGATTCTCATTTGATTTAAGTTATTCATCATTTTCAAATCTATTGTAATTTTATATTCCATGAAAAAAAATCAAAATTTTAATTTGTTTTCTGTGAAGCCACATGTGATTTAGGCCAATTTACGTGAGTATAATAAAAAGAATATTCAAATATGATAATTGTTTGAACCTCAAAATAATTCAAATTTCAAATGATTTATATCAAAACAATAGATAAAATATATTTTATCAGAATTTAAAAAATGATGGTGAAAATTGAGAAAAAAAAAGAATTGTGAAAAAAAACTAAAAATATTAAAAAATAATATTTTCCTTTCCCTAAGGATAAGTTTTTTTTGTCATTTCAGTAAAATTCATTCAGCATGATGACATTTTAACTAATATTTCATGAGAATGGACAAAAATTTATTGTAAAAATTGTTTCCGTTTTTTTCAGTCATTTGTTGTTCCAGCAAAAAAAAAAAAAATATTATTTATTTTTCATTATTTACTAAACTTTTTCCAATTTTTTGATTGTATTTCGTAATTTTCATTCAATTTTTGATGGAATCAAAATTAGTTTTTATTTTGTTTTGCTCAACTAATTGCCTAATAAAGTTTTTTATCTTTTTTTAAATACCATATAAAAATTAATTGGTTGTTTTATTCGAATTTTTTTTTCAATGCTTTGATCAAGAATAGAAAAAAAAGTTACATTAAAAATCGTATGAATATGTAATGATTCGAGAGTATGATCATGATGTTGATTATTGAGTGTGTTTAAAATAATATTGATTACAAATAATGGCACATTTTTTCTCGCATATATCTAAACCATTGAACCTCTGATTCAATGATCATTATTATGATGGTCCATTGTTTGCCGGAATATAACGAATTGAATTCACTTGATTGTAATATTTTCACTTGAATAAACTTATTTGTTTGTGTTTATGTAATGGTTTCACATAGTCACAGCTGTTCTCCCAAAAATAAATCATATAAAAACATACCTCATAGAAAAAAAGCCAAGAGATATATTTCATTATTTGATTATTACCATTTCATTATGATTGTTATCATAATAATAAATTTCATATCATAGCATAGAACATAATAATGATAAAAATTTTTATTATTTTCATTATTCAGTCATAATAATAGTGATGATAATATTGTTATTAATTCATTCAAGTAAATATTGGATGCTATTTGATGATAGATAATATTTACATTGATCAGCTAAACTTTTTGTTTATTTTTAGAATTTCATAATATATTTAATGTTTATCAACAAATTACGATCGCTATTACGGATATTAGAATCCAAAAAAAAACAATGTTAAAAAACAAAATAAAAGGAAGAATATCCTGAATGAATTGAAAAAATAATCGTTATTTATCAATAACAATACAACCATGTATAATCGATAATGTTCAAAGACTAGATTCTTACAAAATACATTTAATACCCATTTTGTCTATTGTCATACCTTTTTTCCCATTCTTATCATAAACAATCTTCTTAATTTCAAATCATCATAATACTCATATTTACCCACATTCATAGATATTATTGAATTTTATCTTTTTGCTTCACCGTTATTGTTGTTGTTGTTATTATTATTATTATTGTCGTGGGTTTTTTGCAAAAGAATATAAATCATATCCAATATGGATGGGAAGAAATGCATCTAGCTGTCTTGTTTTGTTTAATCAAATATGTGTATTTGTGTGTATTTAAATATTGCTCTCATTTTACATATATCAAATATGATTCCTGGACAAACATATGGCATGTCTCGGTAAAGTGTTTGGCGCGTCAGGTGTAAATGTCATGTATGTGAGAAAAAAAAATTCAAACAAAACGATCATATTCATGTAAAATATGAATGTTAATGAAAGCAAAATAATTTTTTATAAATCTTCGATCTAAATTATAAATCATTCTTTTTTCTTTTGCTCTCTCTCTTTTTCTTTCAAATTCAAATTCTTTATGCATGTTTAACAATCTATACACGAATAACTTTCATGATATAAAATGATAATTCTTTGATAATTTTCACCTAAAGTTTTATTTGTTTTTTCTCTTTTACCCACACATCATTCTTTCGCAATCATATTCTAGATTTTTAGCATAATGATCATGTGTTTTATTACGTCATCTATTCCAGCGTAAGTGTAAAAAGAACATGGACATAATTTTCATTCCTTAATCTTCCAATGTTTTTTTTTGTGTGTGTGTGTGTTCATCATCATAATTATCTTCATGGTGAAAATTTATTTCATTTCATTTCTTATGGCAATTTATCCAATAGCCTAGAATTTTTGTTTCGATTTGTCAAACAACCATTAACCCGATGAATATTTTTGTCGTCATCGTTTTTTTTTGTTGTTATAAAATACAAAATTACGTTTACATAACAGTGAAAATTATCATTATTATTATAACAATAATAAAAATCATCATCATCATCATCACCATCATAAAAGTGAATCTAATTTACCATAAGTTTATTCTTTTTGTAAAAAAATGTTAGTTTTTATGTTATGATTCACATTATTGTCTACAGATTCATTCTGCTAAAGTTTAAGCAGAAATTCTAGACACGAAACGAATTTCAGATAGATTGAATAACATTTTTTGTTTTGTTTTGTGGTTTCATTTTTCATCATTCTTATAACGACCACCGCCTACAACTTGATGAGTGCCTATATGTTCTTGTTTGTTTGTGAGAAAAATGTGTAGCAAAAAAAGTTTCAACCAAAAATCTAACTATACATTCAACTTTTCATGAAGCAATAATTTCTAAGAATACCTACCAGAGCTAAAAATCAACTATTTTGTTATTAAATTGTAATAATATTCATCATTATTATATATTACTGATATTGGATACATCAATTACGTTATAAATCATAAATCCTGGAGAAATTAAAGCAAAAATTTTGTTGCTGCTGTTGCTGTGGTTGCGGTGGTGGCGGTACGGGTGGCATTAACAATGGAACTATTTCCATCAATAGTTGTCTCAAACAATCCAAACAATCGGAAAGTTCAGGTGTCAATAAGGTTATAAAAAATATTGACAATAATAATAATAATGATAATAGTAATAATATTGGTTGGCGAACACAAATTACACCAAATATTGTCATCATTGATGAAGATAGTAATGTTGATTCGAATAATAATAATGATAATGATAATAATGATAATGAACAACAATGGCAATCATCGATAACAAAAATACAGCAAGGAAGCCGTATGGTAACAATGAAAAAATTGTCATTACAGATACCGAATCTAAACTATGACATAATTGATGATTACAGTGATACTGATGATGATGATGATGATGATGATGATGACTACGAAGACGATGATGATGATGATGAAGACGTCAATGATGATGATGATGATGAAGACAGTGATTACACTGACAATGATTGCAGTGTTGTTAGTGTTGATGGAAATTCTAGCCAATTCCATACGATTAATGGCTGTAATAAAAAAAAGAATAATGTACGACAACAACAACAACAACAAATCAAATTGAACAATAATTATTTTTGTCAAAATATGTCGAATATAAAATGTAAACGTAAAAGTTTTGATATTAAAAATCTTTGGTTCTATCTACGTCATAATAATCATAATAATCAAATCAATTCGAATGATAATAATAATAATAATAATAATTTGTTCAATCGTATAACATCCTCATCATCATCATCAATGCTTCAAGTTGTTACACAGCAACAACATCAACAACAACAATCAAAACAACAACAAAAATCATTATCATTATCATTGTCTACAATACGGCCAAATTTTGTGAAATTTTTTAATCGAAATCATACAAAAAATATCAATGAAAATCAACAACAACAACAACAATTTCGTAATTCATCAATACCGGAAACAGTATTCTTAGGCAGTCAACGATCATTATCATTTGCATTGAACAATCAACAACAGATAAAGCAGTCTAGATATTCTGTGCCAACAATCATACAGAAAGATAAAGCACAAAAATCCTGGGAACGTATGATGAAAATGAAAAATGATGAAAAACGTAATAAAAGAAAAACAACACGTCTTTTATCATCAGTTCAACAACAAAAAACAGCCTTAATCAATAATTATAATCAGAATAAAATTAAAACAAATGTTGTTGTCATTATTGATGAAAGTTCACCAACCAAAATTCCTTGCAACGATTCATTCGAATCAATTCCAATATGTTCAGATTCTATTCAATCAAAACATCAGCCAACGGAACCAACAAATCAAACAATCAAGGTAGGTTAATTTTTTTTCTATTTTGATCAACAGAAACTTGTTGAGAGTTTTTTTGGTTTAAATAATTAGAATAAATGGATGTCATTATTCAAATAGGTTATTATCCAACATTCATTAACAATTTTTTCATCAATTAATACATAACAGACATATATTAGTGAACAATTTTGTTGATATTTCACCAACATTGAAGAAATTTCCGTTTTCTTTTTTTTCCGAATTTGATATTCATATTTATAATATTATTCTTTGACATATATTTGTTTTTCATTTGTTAGTTTTTGGTTTATTTTTATTTCACTATTTTCGTTGAACGAAAAATTTTTCATGTTGAAGAAAAATTATATTACAAAGTAAATATTAAACATCAACATCGCCTACACATACCAATACAAACAAACATACCAATAGAATTTATTCCATTCATGCATGTCAGAAAAAATATTCATGTTTAGTTTTCAATTTCAATTGAAATTTTATTCCAATTTTTTTTGAGATATTCTTGCTGCTAGCAAAATCTGGTGGCAAATATTGAAAAAAAATTCAAAGTTTAGTTTCGATTCTCGATACTAGATGGCCATACTGACGGAATTTCGAATTCTATTCTCAACACACCAAAAAAAAATAATAATAATAAAAATATTATTCTCCATTGGCCAAAACAATGAAATTTGATGATGTTTATTTCTGAATTATTTATTCAATAATGGAATGTACGTACATAAGTGTGTGCGTTTGTATATTTGAAAATTTGTTTTCTTTGATCATCATCATTTGAATTTAAAAAATTGATAGTCGATTTTTTTTTTTTTGAAAATTCCCACTATTTCATTATTTTCGTTTTGAATTAAATGTGCAAATTTGTTTGCAAAAAAAAACTCCGATAGAATTTATCAGATATTATTTTTTCTCGTTTATTTACATTATATCAATAAATTAATTTATCATTATTTGTGTACGAAATTAATCGATTTAAGTATTACCTATAATTATTTTATTATATAAACAACAACAATCTATGTCGTCATCATTAAACTCAGAAACAACAACAAAAACAACGGCAGTACATAAATGTTAAATATAAACGTGAAAAAAATTGCCCTAAATCATTTACATTTAGCCTTGAAATTTTGATTGGAAAATAATTTGTCTAAAAATAGTATCATCAGAAAATCCGAGAGAGAAAAAACATGATCTTTGTGATATCGAACGTGATTTTAAAAATATGCTCTCATAGATGATCAAAAAGAAAAGAAAAAGTAATTATTCATTTTATTCTAATCCATTGTCAAATCAATAGAACATATGTTTGTATGAATCATGTTGATCATATGTTAATTAACATAAACGTTATCTAATGAAAATAATTGTTTTATCAAATCAATTGATCAAACATCAATTTTGTTCATTTATTCACTAATTTGATGAGAAAAGATGGTTTTTAGACGTGAATTTTAAATAACCATAGTGAAAAAAGGTCTTTTGATAAGCCATTATCATTATCACCATTATCCATGATGGTCATTTTTTTGATTGACGGCAAAACATTTTTTTATTCAATAATGACGTCAATAGAATCGATGAAATTTTCTCTTTTTTTTCATCATTCAATGACCACTTGATGCATCATGGTCATTTTATCTTTTCCTTTTTTTTGTTGCTATTTGTTTATCGTATGATAATGTAATCTCGAATATTCATACGTTTTCTGGTTTCACATTTCTTCACATTTCACATTTTGTCGATCAATTGATAGATTCGTTTTTTGATTATTTTTTTTTTGTCATCGATTTTGGCTGTTTAGCCATTTCATCATTAATTTTCATCATCACGGATACTAAAACAGTAATTAATTCTACAGTGGTGGATAGCTACTTCTATTTATATATTGTTCACCAAGATCAAAATGAAAGGATTGTTGTGATATTAATGAAAAAAACCTCGAATATATAACCCAAATGTATAATTTTTCATATGATTTTGTTTGAAGATATAAATTTTATTATCAATTTATTACATAGTTGTGATTGTTATCGTGATTTTTTATTTATTTCTTGATGATCGTTTCACAGTGTTGAAAAAGATTGATGAAATATTAATTTTTTTTCATTAAACAATCGAATGATTCAAATCAAATTTTTTTCGTCATCTTATTACTTGGTAAAAACATTCAATCATTGATTTATTCATTATTATTTGCATTTTGTCGTAAAAAATTGATTTAAAAAAAGATATTTTTATCTCTGTAATGTTTTTATCACATCGTAAAATTCACATCAAAATATCAATTAATCATCATTTATAAATGAAAAACAGAAAAAAAATTAAACAGAAACATTAAAAAATCGTTATTTATTCTGTCTTTAATTCAATTAAATAAAAAGTTTTTCTTCAAAATTTTTAATAAGAAAAAAAATTCCATATGAAAATCAGTGTTTTGGTTTTTATTTTTTTTTAAATTCTGTTCAGTCGTATTACACATGTTATTATCGGCAAGCAATCCAAACAAAAACGACTTTTGAGATACAACAGCAGCAACATCAGAATAGTAACAACAACAACAACAAAAAACGTTCCAATAATTTTGTAATCCGAATGCGGAAGTGATTTTATTTTGTTGTCACACTTATTTTTCACATTCAATTCTTTTCTTTCCATAAACATTATTGTAACATCTTGCATGTATTGTCGTAGTTTTCGGTTTTTTTTCATCAATGTGATGCTACACAATACTAGATGTAATGTTGATGGCCTAGAATTTTTGTTTGTTTTTTTTCTCAGTTTTACTTCTCTTTCAACGATCATACCAGTACAACAATTTTGAATGTTAAATTCTTTTCGGTGTATACAATACAAATCTCAAATAGGAAGAATGAAAAAATTTTTTGTTTTGTTTTTGAGAATCTTTAAATTGAAAAAAAACTGACTATAGTCAACTTTAAGAAAAATTAATGTAAAATGTGTACTAATATTATGGCTATAATAACAATCAATAAAATGGATTCACTACCATCACCATCATCATCAACAACAACAGCAAAGTTATCGATTAATTCGATATTCAATGATCGTTTATCATTACGGCCGACAAAGACATCATCATCATTGAAAATAATAAATGCAAAAAAAATGGCAAAATTTTTTTCATTTTTTTCTTTACATTCTTCAATTAATGATTCGATGATCATCAATGTATGTTTTTTTTATATATATAAAGCATTGAATATTTTTTTGCCACAAATTCTTTCCCATGTATTTTTTTCATGATATTGTATCCTAGATTAGATAATAATAATATCATCGTTTTTTTTCTCATCTAATGATGTTTAGTTTGTGAATCGATGGGTGTGTTCTACAAAAAATATCTTTGCTTTTTTCATTTTTGTTTTATACAAAAAGAAAATGAACATTCAATCTGCCATTAATGATTTGGTCTTTTTTTTCTGTCATCACAGTTGGTTGATTAGTTTTTAGTAAGAAATTTTTATTTTTGCTATTTGAATCTAGATGGTAAAATTTTATTTTTCCCGGAAATTTTCTCTTTTTTTCATCATTCACTATTATAATTATTGATCATGGGAACCATGATGACCATCATTATGTATCAATTGAATGATACATAGTTTGAAACCAATACACTGAAAAAAAACAAATTGTTTATTTGTTAAATAAGAAGTTACATTTCGATGTTTATAATAATGATTATGAGATGATGATGTAATGAAAAAATTAAATAATATTTTTTTCAAACAATTATTATATAAAAATTCTGATTCCACTGCAGTGCAATACATTGAAATTGATTGAATTAAAATGCTAAATTCACACAACAACAACAACAAAATTTTTTTTGTTCACAATTGTGATTGAATAATAGTGGTTTTTTTCCTCGTTTCTATTGAATAAATTTTGTTATCATGTTTATGGATGCGTATAATTGTAATCGAATGAAAATGAAATAGGAAATCTATTTTTAGTTTGTTTTCTTCAGCACGCGATCATTTTATTTTCGAGCAAATTCTTTCTCCCTTTTTTTTTTGTTTGGATCCATTTTCATTATATATTTTGGATTTCTTTACTTTTCGATTTCCGTTGAGTTTTAGTGAACCAATTTTCATTATCGTCATCATCATCATCATCATTTTTGTTGTTGTTGTTGTTGTCATAGTTTTGGCCAATGGACAGTTTGAATTGTTGTTTTTTTTGGACTTTTGTTCAATCACTATTTTTAGAATTTCCAATTTTCCATTGCTCAATATCAGCGTGCGCATTCATCCCGAAATTAAAATTTTGTAATTCCAAATTGAATTATATTATATTATTGCATTTAACTATCGTTTAACTGAATATTCGCACCAATCAATCGAATCAAGCTATGAATATTGAGTAATTTTCAAAGAATTTACTTGATGAGAATTCATTTGATAAATATTGTAATATTTGTGTCTACATTGAATTTTTTGTGTTTTCAAGATTGATTTTTTTTCGTATTCATTACAAAATGTGTCGAATATTCAATTTTGAATTTTTCATTATAACTTTTGTTTGCACAAGATGTAACATGGGAAAATTTTCGAACCGGGGAAACTTAACTAGGGTTTTTTATTATCAGTACTATCGTCATCGTTATATTTCTTTGATTGGAAAAACACAACTATTATTCGATTCTTGATGAGTCGAATCGAAATCGACAAGCTTTATTCACATTGCGTCTGCCTATATTTATATCTTTGTGCATGGATCTAACATTCTGAACTTTTAGTTCAGGGTTTTTTGGCCTATCCTGCTTGTGCGTCGTCGCTGTTATTATCGGTATTATTGTTGTTGTTGTTCCAACAAGCATCCCCGTATGAATGTGAATAAAAGTTTCACACAGAATGGATTTCATCTCCGAAATTCTCAGTTTGGATAATGATAGCAGTGGTAATAGTTCATCTCAATTTCCATGTGTAATTCTTGAAGAAATAATATCATTAAGTTTTATCTATGTGTTGAAAGTT